AAAGCCCGAGAGGCGTTCAGGAATGAATGGGGCTGATGGGACTCAGGAACACCCACCAGCTCCCCCGCCTTATTTCAGACTCTGTGCCAGGCGCCGTGTTTCATTCCATCTTCCCACTCTCCTGCCAGGGAGCAAACATGGTCTCCCATTTTGCAGATGGAGCACCTGGCTGGAGCAGTTAGTGAAGCCAGGACCTGACGTGGGGATTCCCGCCTCCAGTCCCCAGTCCCGTGTCACCGTCACCATCATCATCGTCATCACCGTCATCACCACCACCAGCATCTGCACATTCCATGCATTCCATCTGCAAAGCCCTGTGGAGCCCCCAGCCCGAGTTTCTATTCCTGGTGGTTATCACACTTGACTCAATGGCGGTCTGGGGAAGTAGGTACTAGTGCCATCGTGTCCACTTTGCAGATGAGGAAACTGAGGTCCAAAGAGGACACGCTAGGACATGACAGAGCTGAGACTGAGGGCCAGGTCTTGCCACCTGAACACAAGGGCTTATCTTAGCCAGCATGTTCTTCTCCTACAGCGGACAAGGAGCCGAGTGGAGCAGACAGGCAGGGAGAGCCAAGGGGCCCAGAGGAGGCAGGGCTGCAGCTGGCGGGGCAGTCAGGGAAGATTAGAAACCAGAGCGGCTGGGGTTGGGGTGGGTGGGGGTTGCGGAGAGACCGGAGGGATCCGTATTGAGCGGGGCATTGTGGGAGGCGAAGGAAGCCCAAAGCCGGAGACTGGGGGCCAGGGTGAGCCAGGGAGCGGGAGCAGGAGCCAGCCAGACCGGAGTGGGAATCCCAGCTTTGCCACTTCTGCTGGGCCACCTCCATCCTCATTCCTACTCCCCCCACCCCCGGCCTGTGATTTTTCAGCTGGGGAGAGAAATAATAACCCTGCTTGTTGCTGCAGTTGGTGCTTAATAAATACTTGTTAAGTAAACAGAGGCTTGCAGTGACGCTTTGGGGAGATAGACCAGGCAGGGAGCTGACACTTCCAGAAGGTTCCTTCCCTGAGAGCAGCCTCCGAGAAGAGAAGGGCGATAGGTTCAGCTGGGTCCCAGGGCTGAGCAGTATGACCTTGAGCAAGTCACTTCACCTCCCCTATTGTCCCATCTAGTAACAAAGACAAGCATTAAGGCCCTGAAGGCTGGCTAAGTGTCCCCTTCCTCCTGCCTGGCTGGCCCAGACTCAGTAAGTGTGCTGCCTTTTGGGCTGGGGGCCAGGGTGACATGCCCCTGAGCCACCAGCGATTCTCCGGGGCATGGTGTGGGTGCACACGGGGAGATGTGTCCTCACAGTCGGCCGGGGTTGCCGGAGTCCCCCTGGGGCTGCTGTCACTTTATCAGCTTTCCTTTGGCAAAGGGAGTTGTGGGCAAGGAGGGGGCATTCGGTTTCACAAAATCAGAGGAAAACCTCATGACAGGTGTGGGGTCTTTATCTTGCCTGCTCTGGACCCGTGGCAGGCAGGGCGTCCAGCCCTCCCCTGGAAGGAGTAGGCTCGCAATGGTGACAACGAGTTGACATCCCTGCCGGTCACCTTTACCATCTCCCTCGGGCTGGAAGGTCCTTGGCTAGCCACTGCCTCCCTGTGCCACCACCCTGCTCTTGGCCTCAGTTTCTCTAGTTGTCTAGTGAGGTCTGGACTAGGGGCTTCAGATCTGAGACATTGACAGCACCGTAAAATTAAAAGAAAAGAAAAAATTTTGGTAAATGGCCCAGCACCTCCCTCCTTCACTTTGCCAAGAAAGGACGTTGAGTGCAGCTGGCATCTCCCATCCCTATCCTTTCCCCAAGATGACCATGAAAGGAGTCGCGGGATACACTCAGGATCAAGGGTAGTGACCGGCCGAGGAAGCTGGCCCGGAAGGGGAAGGACTTGTCCAAGGTCACACCGTGAGGCAATGAGGGGGGCCCGGCCACCCGGAGCCTCCACCGTGGGAAATGGGCTGAAACCGAGTTCTCCCAGGTGTGTTCATTTTCTGGCACACTTGTTGGAAGAGAACGAAGACCAGCTCGTTGCCTTCCAGAAAAGTACGGTTTCACTGTAGACACGATCCTGGGGACATGGTCTTCCCACGAGAACACCTGTATCCAGGGCGATCCCCGGTGGTCAATGCGTCTTGCCCTTCTGGGACCAACTGTGCCCCTTCTCTTGGGCACTTTGCCCTTGGGCCTTCGCCAGGAAGCCCCTTGTGACAAACAAGGGACAAAAAACCTGGCCGTCTCCCAGGGCTGTCACATGAAAGCATGATGCCAAGCTTCGTACTTTTCAGGTTTCAGTCGGGCGCAGTGTGGGTCAGCTCACGGCCTGCCAGGTGAGCCTGTCGTTCCTGCAGCAGGAGTCAGCGGGGACAGGAGCGCTCGCTAACTTGAACGGGTCCCTGCAGGCAGGGAGAGGCGGCACACAGGCTCCTCTGTGGCGGAGGGCGATGGGTCTGTGGGGCAGCTTTCCCGTTGGCCCCAGAGCGGACACTTCTGAGCACGACTGGGCATGGCGGAGCAGACCTGTGGGCCCGGGGCCTGGAATGTCACAGGGGCTTGATTGAGAACACTGCTGTGACCAGGAGAGGAGATGCAGGGGTGCAGGGCCAGCTGTGCCCCCACTGGGCTGAGATGTGAGGCTTGTTGGGATGGGCAGGGGCTGGGAGTGAGGGCTGAAGCCTGAGTGAACCTGGAGCCTGGGGCCAGACTGATCCTGCCACTCCGCCCAGGACCCGGGGAAAGTGGATAGTGTTGGTGAGCGAGGCCAGCAGCCTAGAACATGTGGGGACCATCTCCCTTGCCCTCAGTCCTGGGCCCTCCTAGAGAGTGGGAGCCCCATAAAGAGCCTTCTGCTGCAACAAACTCTACCCCCACCCCTCCGGGGAGGAGGCTTCTCTTTCCAGGAGCACCTTTCCCTCCCAGGAGCCCTGGAGCGGGAATGAGGAGCCCCCGCTCGCTCGCTCGGGCTCGTCCCCTCTGCCTCACCCTGGGACCCTGAGCAAATCCATCCCAGGTCTGCACTTCCTGGCCTCAGCTATAAAAGAAGGGTCTCGAAGTAAGCGCTTTCTGGTTCCTTCTTTGGTGCTACTGGAGTCATTCAGGACAGCGGGACAGAGCAGAGAGGGAGATGTTTAGTGAAGGAAGACCTCCTTCTAGAAAACTAGAAGGTGCCCCTGGTCCCCACTTTCTTCAGGGCTCCCACCTGGAGCCCAGGCTGTTAGGCCTCTGGGGGAGGTGGCAGACAGGGTCTGGTGCTCCCAGCCAAAGTTATGGCCTCCTAAGGGTCAGCACTGCCCACCCACATTGTCTGTTAGATCTTCAGACCCGTGGGTCTCACTGGTCCTATTTTCCAGATGAAGAAACTGAGGCTCACAGCCGCCAAGTGACTTGCCCCCATGTCATGCGGTGGATGAAGGACTTCAGCACAGGGCTGCGGGCCCCGGGTAGCAAAGGCAGGGAAGGGAGAAGACCCAGAGGAGGGGGTGATGGCGGGGCATGCGGGGGGGTGGCAGGGCTGACTCTCCCCAGGCCTGGCGGAGGGAGGGAGTTTCTCCCGGGAAGAGGCACAGGCAGGCACCAGGCTGTTGATCTCTAAATTTCAGCGTTGGCGCGGACCCGTTGCTGCGGCAACCGAGTTGTCCTGAGCGGGGAAGTGTATAAACATTGCCACAGATGCACAATTAGATCAGGAAGAAGAATAGAACAGAAAATAGAAACTTCCAGCCTTATATAATTCTGGGCCAAAACGTTACCGGGAGCCCAGGCCCAGGCCCAGCCCTGCCAGTGGCTGGGGCCCCGGGCAGCACCCTCTCTCCCTCTCTCTCCCTGCGCCCCGTGGAGGGGAGGGGTGGAGGGAGGGTCTGCCCTCCATGGGCCCAGCTGGTGCTCCTGCCACCCCTAAGGGGTGAGGGCCGCCTCCACCGAAACACAGCTGAGGAGTCTGACAGGCAAAGCCTGCCTCTCGCCAGCTTCCTCCTGCTCTGGAGAGGCGGGAAGGAGGGCAGGAGGGTGGCTGTCTCTAACCGAGCACCCACTGTCTCCTTGGGTCCTGTGAGGCAGGCTTTTGATCCCCATTTTACAGGTGAGGGGAGATGAGTTTTCCGAGGTGTCTCCACGAGGCAGTGGGTGTGTCTGCCTCTGCCTCCGGACCCATGAGCCCTTAGGTGTTGACAGCACCTGCGGGCTAAGTAAGGTTAGACACACCTGAGCTTGGATTTACTCACTAGCTGTGTGACCTTGGGCCAGTCGCTTCCCCTCTCTGAGCCCTGCTCCCTCACTGGTGACATGGGAATTGCAATGCCTACCTGGGAGCCAAAGCTTGGGGCTCCCCCTTCCTCCGTCTTGGCCACGACCATTGCTGTCTTCACCCACTTCTGTTCCCAGCAGGTCTGGGGACGGGACGGGAACTGACTTGGGGCCACGGGTCCCAGCACAGCCTAGTGGGACTTCCTGTCATGAGGCAGATGTTCTCTGTCAACTCCGTCTGGTCACGGCAGCCGTTAGCCACAGGTGGCTACTGAGCCCTTGAAATGTGGGGAACTGAAGTTAAAATTGTATTTCATCTTGAGTCAATGTACAGAGCCACAGGTGGCCATTGGCTGCTCTACGGGTCAGCCCGGGAGGATGTCCTGCCCCAGAGAGGGCCAAGCAGGCAGGGGCTGAGCCCAGGAGGTGACCAGGGGCTGGAGCGTTCACGGCTCCCTCAGCTCAGGGTAGGGGGCCCGATGGTGGAGCCAAGAAGAAAGCTCCCCAGATGGGGCAGGGGGGCCGGAAAGGTTGGAGGGAGCAGCACGAGGGCCGTCCTGGTGGCCTCATCTTCTGGTGCTTGGAGGCGCTGGCTCAGGCCCCCACACTCCCTCCCTGTCCTCAGAAGCACCTTACCCGCCACCTTCTGCCCGCAGGGGCTCCAGAGGGTCCTGGGTCCCAGGCCAGGCTCCTCCCCTTCTGAGCATCTCCAGGTGGGGTGGGAGTGGGGTTCCCCGGGCGCCAGCATCTCACCTGTCGGGCTTCTCCTCTCCCCAGGCCCTGCGTCTTCCCAGGTGATCACGCCGGCTTCAGGACATGCACGGGCACAGCCGCAACGGGCAGGCCCACGTGCCCCGGCGGAAACGCCGCAACCGCTTCGTCAAGAAGAACGGCCAATGCAACGTCTACTTCGCCAACCTGAGCAACAAGTCGCAGCGCTACATGGCGGACATCTTCACCACCTGCGTGGACACGCGCTGGCGCTACATGCTCATGATCTTCTCCGCGGCCTTCCTCGTCTCCTGGCTCTTCTTCGGCCTCCTCTTCTGGTGTATCGCCTTCTTCCACGGCGACCTGGAGGCCGGCCCGGCGGCGGCGGCGGCTGCGGCGGCGGCCACGGCGACGGCGGCGGCGGGAGGGGGTGCCCCGGCGGCCCCAACGGCCCCCAAGCCCTGCATCATGCACGTGAACGGCTTCCTGGGTGCCTTCCTGTTCTCGGTGGAGACGCAGACGACCATCGGCTACGGGTTCCGCTGCGTGACGGAGGAGTGCCCGCTGGCGGTCATCGCCGTGGTGGTGCAGTCCATCGTGGGCTGCGTCATCGACTCCTTCATGATTGGCACCATCATGGCCAAGATGGCTCGGCCCAAGAAGAGGGCGCAGACGCTGCTGTTCAGCCACCACGCGGTCATCTCGGTGCGCGACGGCAAGCTCTGCCTCATGTGGCGCGTGGGCAACCTGCGTAAGAGCCACATCGTGGAGGCGCACGTGCGGGCCCAGCTCATCAAGCCCTACATGACCCAGGAGGGCGAGTACCTGCCGCTGGACCAGCGGGACCTCAACGTGGGCTACGACATCGGCCTGGACCGCATCTTCCTGGTGTCGCCCATCATCATCGTGCACGAGATCGACGAGGACAGCCCGCTCTACGGCATGGGCAAGGAGGAGCTGGAGTCGGAGGACTTTGAGATCGTGGTCATCCTCGAGGGCATGGTGGAGGCCACCGCCATGACCACCCAGGCCCGCAGCTCCTACCTGGCCAGCGAGATCCTGTGGGGCCACCGCTTCGAGCCCGTGGTCTTTGAGGAGAAGAGCCACTACAAGGTGGACTACTCGCGCTTCCACAAGACCTACGAGGTGGCCGGCACGCCCTGCTGCTCGGCCCGGGAGCTGCAGGAGAGCAAGATCACCGTGCTGCCCGCCCCGCCGCCCCCGCCCAGTGCCTTCTGCTACGAGAACGAGCTGGCCCTCATGAGCCAGGAGGAAGAGGAGATGGAGGAGGAGGCGGCGGCCGCTGCTGCCGTGGCCGCGGGCCTGGGCCTGGAGGCGGGCTCCAAGGAGGAGGCGGGCATCATCCGAATGCTGGAGTTCGGCAGCCACCTGGATCTGGAGCGCATCCAAGCCACCCTCCCACTGGACAACATCTCCTACCGCAGGGAGTCCGCCATCTGACCTCCGGGCCCCGCCCTCATCACTTCCCACAAGAGCCTCTGCCGGGGGTGGGATGCCAGGACACCCCCTCCACACTCAGGACAGAGCCCTGGCTCCACGGGCCTGCGGCAGGGAGCTGGGGGCTTCAGAGACTGGGGAACCCCTTCTCAGTGACTCCAGAGCCCAGGCCTGGGAAGGGCCCAGGATACCCCCTGACCTGTCAGCCTACCCACTGGCCTCTCGGGGACCCCAGACCCACCACCTTTTTCCCACTGACACTTCAAGGATGTGCCCCCTTTACTCTCAGAACCTTGGGGAAGGGGCTGGACTGCTGGGGGGGTGGGCATCGTGGGGTTCTGGGGTGGGCAGGGGTTAGTGTGGGGGGAGGGTGGGTGGGGGACGTTTCTTTTGCATGACTGTGACCTGTTGCTCTCGACTTTCTTTTGTAAATATCTATAAATGGAGAGATGGAGGCACCAAATCTGCCTTCTGCCTTCGTACCTGCAGGACAAGGAGGTGCAGTCCCTCTCTGTGAACCGCCCCCACTCCCGGGCCCAGCGAGCCTAGCCCCTTCCCCCCGCCCAGCAGGCTGGTCCCCAAAGCCAGCCATCTTGGCCCCTGGATGTTGGGTTTGGGTGCAGAGGTGGGTCCCCGAGGGGCAGGATGAGGACCATCCCTCCCTGTGGTCCCTCCAGATCCCCGGGGTCCAGCCCAGATTGACAATGGAGTTTGTAACTATATATTTTTAATAAAGTATATGGTCCATTAGGGGTAGGCTGGTTGAAGATGAAAAGCACAGAACAGAGAGAGAGAGACCGTGATGTGAGTGTGTCTGTGTGTGGTGTGTGTGTCCCTTTCCAAGACACTGAGCCCCGGAGGGGACTTGACCACCTGCCATTCTCCTTCCTGGGAGCCAATGGGAAAGATCCTGAGCCGGCTGCAGAGGACCTGGGCTTGAACCAGAGCTTTGCTACTTCACCGCCGTGCGGCTGCCAGCAAGTTGCCCATCTGTTCTTGGCCTCAGTTTCATCATCTGTAGAATGGGATGAATCACTCCTCCCTCCCAAGAGATGATAGGCAGGAAAGCCCTGTGTGGGTGGGAGCTAAGCCTCCGTAACCGGCAGAGGAGGGGGCCTTGGGGGGGTTTTGGGGGGCCTACTTACATCTACACAGGCTAGGCAGGTGAATCTGGCCTCAGGACGCTGGTGGGAAGGGCTTTGGGGGGCAGCTGGGAAACCTGGTCCTAGTCGGACTTGGTCTCTGTCCAAGTCCCTCTGGGTGGGACTTTGGGTGAGTCCTTCCTTTCTCTGGGCTTTGGTTAATCTATACTCTGTTAACAAACCACCTCAAAACCTAGACGACACTCCTGTGTTCTTATTCTTTCTCAAGCTTCTGTGGGTGGACTGAGTGCTCCCTTGCCCGGTTTCTTGGGGCTCACACTCCAGCAGCTGGGGAATGTCAGCTCGGCACAGCTGTAAGGTCCAAGACGGCCTCGCCCACATGTCAGATAGTCCGTCTGGCTAACAGCCGGGGCCTCTCTTCCTCCAAATTCCTTCATGGCATCTCAGACCTAAGTGGGTGAAGGCAGAAGCTACAAGGTCTCTTGAGCCTAGCCTTGAACTTGGACAACGTCATCTCCGCTGCGATCTCTTGGCCAAAGAGGTCACCAGGCCAGCCCAGATTCAAAGGGGGCGGGAAATCAGACTCCAGCTTTTGGGAGCACGGTAAAAGTCACGTGGCAAAAGGTGTCCACACGGTGGTGGCATTGTGGCCCTCCGTGGCAGTTTGTCACAGAGACTTTCAGTGCAAGAGCTCCTTCCAGCTCTACGTCTGGTCTACGTGCCAACTGTGCGCCCACCAGTCAAGGTGTGAGGGAGCAGCGGTAACCCTCGCTGTTCCCGGAAGTCTTCTAGGTAAGAGGTGCCACTACCTCAGGAAACTCAGGGAAGCAGCAGGCGAGCTCATCCACCACGAGCTGCTGTGAGCTGCGTTGGGAACGATCACGTTTCACCAGCACCAGCAACGTGGCTGCCATTTGGGTAAAACATGGTGCATCCGCTGTGCTTTAACGGTGTAAAAAGAAATCGAGGCCTCCATCCTGGAGAAGAAAGCCAGCCTCAACAAATAACCTTCCCAATGCCTCCCTTCACGGGACACCCTTCCCAGCCCGTCACTCAATGAACTCTGACCAAGTCCCAAGAGGCAGGCAGACGAGGACGGTGGTCTCAATCCTTGTGGAGGCCCAGGAACTAAGGGACTGGCACAAACCAAGGTGAGGACGGACAGAGGTCAGAGGCCTACTTCCCTTTTGCTCACCCTCTCCCAGGCAGGGGCTAAGTGAGGGGCAGGGGCTGCCCCCCTCCGGATTTCTGAGCGCTCCTGTGACCTTTGGGGCCCCTCCTAAGGGCCTGGACAAGAGCCCAGCCCTCTCAGAGGGGCCTTTGGTGTCCCTCTGCCAGGGTCTCACCTCCCACAGGTCTCATCGGAGATGTCCCACTGTTCAGCCCTGCAGGCCCCCCGGGAGAGCCTCCCCAGCCAGCTTCATTCCCAGGGATGCTTTGGCGCCCAGGTGACCAGTGGTCAGGAAAGAGGACCTCAGACTTAGGCACACTCGGACTCAGAATCTTCGACCCAGAACATATCTTAGAGGTCAACAAATGGGCTCGACTTGGAGGACATGGGAGAGGCGAGTTTTGACAAGGGCTGGAAAAGCAAGGACTTTCCGGGGTGCCAGAGAGAGGAGTGCAGGCGTGGGCCCTGGGGGCGGGCCGGGGGAGGGGCCACAGGGAGCCTGGGAGGTAGCTCAGAGCTGCAGGAAGGCTTCCAGGCCACGCTGGCTGCTTGCAAACCCTTGCTCGCTCTGCTCTGCGCTGACTCACCTTCCCTCTCCCACCTGTTCCCCTTTCTGAGCCCTCCCACCTGCCTGCCCCCACTGCTCGCTGGCAGGCAGCTCCTCTGATCTCTCACTGCACTGGGGCTCCTGGCAGCGCTGAAATGGGGGGGGTTCACTGTATCTGGGGTGGGGGAAGCTGGGGTATCATGGAACCTGCAGTCACGGGACAGGGCGGGCTGAAGGGGGGCTGCTAGCCCTTCCTCGCCGCACCCCATCTTCCCAGGCGCATCTCTCCTCCCCGGCCAGGCCCTCCAGCTTTCCCCCCTTCAGTCACAGCCTGAGGGAGTAGTGGGTGGCAGGGAGGGAAGGAAGGAAGGGATATCAGGTGGGAGAAAGGAAGAGAAGTGGGGGCAGGGGGGGTTTAGAGGGTGTGGTCTAATGAAGCTGAAAACCTCCCCCTCATCTCGCCTCAAATCCCACCCTTCAGGCATAATTCCTGTAGGATCATCTTTGTTTCCTTCCCGCCAGCTTCTGAAAAACCTATTCCTTACAAATGTAACTCAGCTGTTTCACTGGGTCAGACTCTAGCCTCATCCTTGCTGGTGCTCAGTTAGATCACCTGCTGTGATGGGAGTGCGGCTTCTTCCTGCGTCTGGCTTTGCTCCCCGAAGTTTTTTACGGGGTCTGACTTTCTTGGTATTGATGGAGTCTACAGATTTTCCATTTTTAATGACTACATACTGTTCATAAAATCCTAGCGCTCAGGGGGTGCCTGGGTGGCTCAGTCAGTTAAGCGTCCCACTCTTGGTTTTTGGCTCAGGTCTTGATCTCTGGGTCCTGGGATCGAGTCCCATGATGGGCTCCACACTCAGCACAGAGTTGGCTTGTCCCTCTCCCTCTCTGCCCCTCCCCCTGCATGCACACACTCTCTCTCAAATAAATAAAATCTTTTTTTTAGACTTTATTTATTTATTTATTTGACAGAGATCAAAAGCAGGCAGAGAGGCAGGCAGACAGAGAGAAGGGGGAAGCAGGCTTCCCGCTGAGCAGAGAGCCCGATGTGGTGCTCGATCCCAGGACCCTGAGATCATGACCTGAGCCGAGGGCAGGACAAAGCCTCACAGGTGGGCCTAGAGGGGAGTAACCTTGAACCTCACTGTCCTGAACCCTAGTCCAGGGCCCTTCCCAATCGTACCCACAGGACCGGCTGCCTAACTTGTGGCATCCATGGCAATATGAAAATTATGTGTCCTTTATTCCAAAGTTGGGGAAATGGTGCCATTAAAGACACCCACAGTATAAAGCACTTTCCTTTCTCCAGATTACCTTCTCTGTGCCCTGTGCGTCCCACTGTGTCCTGTTGGACTTCACTCACAGAACACAAGTTCAAAGAGAAAGTGAAGAACGTCAAGACAGAGCCTAGAGAGCATTAAACCCAGCTTCGGTCCCTCCCGGGACGCTGGCCCTCTGATGAGCCCTGCTGGCCTCCCCCGTCTGCTGCAGGACCACGATGAACGCCAGCTCTTCTCCACCATACACAATGCCGGGGTCGGCATTTGTGTCCAGTCTGTTTCGTTGTGTTGTCGTACTTGTTCTTCTGGTGGCTGCTTGCTCCGACGAAGGACTAACAGAATTCTGGGCTCTGTTTGCCAGACCGGCTCAGAACGCAACCCCAGCACGGAAGTCTTTCCGCAAGGACAAGTAAATCTGAGTTCTAAGGATGGCAAAGGAGAGAAGTTTCGAAACCAAACTCTCCTTCCACGTCTTCTCAGGGGGCTGCCTACTGAGAGGGTGAGGGCCGACGAGGGGCAGTGCTGGCCAGAGGGGACAGCCATGGTGCTAGGGCAGCCGCCAAGGGCAGAGAAAGTATACATGTGAGAGGCAAAGGGTCTCAGCATTGAATTTTGCCTCTCCCACCTACAAGCTCTGTGGCTTTGGGCAAGTTGATTCTGTCTCTGAACCTGTGTCCTCATCTGTAAAAAAGAGTCATTCATATCTCTCTCACATGCCATGTGGACTAAATGAGATCTCATATGTGACCAGACACAGCATGATGTGGGGCACATCAGTGGGCCCAAATAATTGTGAGTTCCCTTCCAGAAAGGGTTTTGGTGGGCTTGCCATATGAGACCCAGTTTGAAAACTGACTTCTGAGCTTCCTGGCAGCCATGCAAAAAGGGAAATCAGATAGCTCAGGGTTCCGTGTAATGAGGAGCAGGAGGCTAGACAAAGAGCATGGGTTCTGATTTGTTGTGTGATCCTGGGTCTTCTCTTTCCTTCTCAGAACCTCATTTTTCCCCATCTTCAAAGTTAGGGGGTTGGACCTCATGACCTCTAGGGTCCTGACATGTCTGACAACCTAGGATTCTATTCCCATGTCCTTCACTAGAAGACAGGAAGTCGTGGGGAAGGACGCAACTGGTACTTGGCAAAACTGGCAGAGTCGATCTTCGTCCCGTCCCGCATGCACTGCCTGCCTCGAGGATGCAACCCTACTCAACCCACCGACTGCGTCACATTTGGTCTAAAAGCCCCTACAC